TCATGCGGGAGAAATTTTTCGTGCCTGTTATAAACCTGTCTTCTTTCCATGTTTCAATTGTATATAACTGGTCTCTTCTTCACAAATAGGACAAGCATAATGCCCCTTCACACTATACCCACTCAAGTTTCCATAGGCAGGGAAGTCATTAATGGTGCAAAATAACATTGCATGCAACTTGAACTTCTGCTGCTGATACCCGTCAAATGCATCTACTCCTTCCTCCCATAATAGTGTTAAGTCTTCTATCAAAGGACTCAAATACACATCTATGTCATTTCCTGGCAGTCTTGGACCTGAAATCATCATACACAACATGACATATTTGCGCTTCATGCATAACCATGGTGAAAGATTGTAAATCATCAATAAAACGGGCCATCAACTATGGTTACTACTTAAATTTCCAAAAGGATTCATCCCATCTGTTGCTAATCCAAGTCTAAGGTTTCTTGCATCACTACCAAAACTTGGAAATAGACGGTCAAAATTCTTCCATTGGGGAGAGTCAGATGGATGTCGCATTTGCCCATCACATGTTTTTCTCTTTGAATGCCAAATTAAATTTTCAGCATCTTCGTGAGCGTACAACCGCCTAAATCTTGGAATAATTGGAAGATACCATAAAACTTTTGCAGGAGGACGTTTTTTACCACTCTCCTGACTACAATCATCACCATCCTTCGTTTTGTAACGTGATACACCACATGTTGGACATTGGTCTAAAGATGAGAATTCTTTCCTGTATAACACACAATCATTAGGGCAAGCATGTATCTTCCTATATTCTAAACCCATCGGACATAGTATCTTCTTCGCTTCATACATACGGTCCGGCAAGGTGTTATTGTCTAGGAGCATCTCCTTCAAAAGTTGGAGTAATTCATTAAAACTTGTATCACTCCAACCAAATTTTGCTTTTAGATTGACCAATCTTAACACAGATGACAACCGTGTGAAAGTTGTACATCCGGGATACAAAGGTGTCTCTGAATCGGTCCTCAATGTATCATATATAGATGCATGTGCTTCAAGAAAGCTCTCTTGACCCACATCACAAAGCATGTTCTCTATTCGATCTTCGCAGGTTACATCATCCTCATTAGTTTGTGATACTGTTGGAATATCAACCACTTCACCGTGCCATGTCCATATGGTGTAATTCTTCATCATCCCATCGCAAATAAGATGCTCCCGCGTTGTGTCCATCTCTTGTACTCTGCCATTTACACAATTAATGCATGGGCAGTAGATTTTTCCATTCATTTTGGGAGCATTTTGTTCGGCAAATTTCAAAAAGGAGTCAACTCCATTCTCATACTCTTCTGACATACGACTTGCATTGACCCAAGTTCGATCCATCTAACTACACAAAAAGGCTTGCCTAGATATTCAAGGTTTATTAGAAAAGGTTTAACAAAACAATACAAAAAAAACGTGTACATTGCCTAACAATGCTCTAATGTTCCATACATGCTCTAATGTTCCATATACCACTTCGAAACCTAAACCTAAACCTAAACGAAACCTAATGTTCCATATACCACTTCGAAACCTAAATGAACCTAGATCAAATCAAACCATATATACAAAATCATCCATCATCTTTCTAATGTTCCTACGTAGGAAATGCTCTAAATAATCCATATTTATGTTAAATGCATGCTCGTAAATCATCCATACAACTTAATCTAACCCGATGAGAGCGCGCGAGTGGGCGGCGAAGGAGCGCGAGGGGCGGACCACGGCGGTGAGGACCGAGGCAGCGGACCACGCCGAATGAGGTAGCAGCGGCGAGTGGGCGGCGAAGGGGCGGCGAGGGGCGAGCGAGGGGCGGCAAAGTGGGCGGCGAAGGGGCGGCGAGGGGCGAAGCGAGGGCGGCAAAGTGGGCGCGAAGGGGCGGCGAGGGGGCAGCAGTGAGGACCGAGGCACAGCGAAGAAGAAGCAGAAGGAGGGAGTATGTGGGACGAAGAAGAAGCAGACGAGGGGGCAGCGCGCCAAGGAGGAGAGGTATAAAGGAAATTCAACGTCGGTTATTAAAAAACCCGACGTGGATAACGCTTTCGACGTCGGGTAAATCATGTAACCGACGTTGATTTTGGGAATTCAACGTCAGTTATACATAACCGACGTTAAATTTAAACATTTAACGTCGTCTGTCATATAACTGACGTTGAATTGCAGTTACTACGTCAGTTATTATATAACCGACGTTAAATTTTGTTTCATAATTACAAGTTTGCCACCACGTCTTGTACAACGTCGGACTTCGTGATAACCGACGTTGGATGCTGTCGTAGAAAGTGTTTTCTGTAGTAGTGTTTCAAAAACATGTAGAATGTGAGAAGTTTAAAAAGAAAAAAAAAAAGATATATACATAAGTAATTGGATTAAATTTATTATCCCCTCATATATTATTATACATTATTAGCGTACTTTTAGTTTAATTAAAAATTAGAATACAAATATACTATATTATACTAATATACCAATATATTATAATATTTGTAATTTATTTTCATTGTGTATAAATTACAAAACTAATAATTTTTAAAAAGTTTTAATGATAATTTTTTTAACTTATATATTACAAAATATTTTTAATAATTTAATAAATATAACTTTTTAAAATATATTTCATCAATTGAAAGTATAATTTTTTGTATTTTTTTTAATGTGGATATCTTTAATATTTTGTACATGTAAATATAATTTATATATGTTTTTAAACCTTTTTTTAAAATTTATATATTTATATATTTATACATTTATACATTTATACATTTATATATTTATATATTTATACATTTATATATTTATACATTTATACATTTATACATTTATACATTTATATATTTATATATTTATATATTTATACATTTATATATTTATATATTTATATTTTTATATATTTTTATATTTTTATATATTTATATATTTATATATTTATATATTTATATATATTATATATAATTAAATATTTATTTTTAAAATTATTTAATTTAATAAATTAATCTAATTATGATTAAATTAAATTATTAAATAAAAATATTTTATTTTTTAATTAAGTGAATAATTAAATTATATTATATAATTTTACCGACGGATATATCCGTCAGTAAATAATTGTTAATTTCATCGATCGAAAATATCCGTAGATAAATAATTGTTAATTTACGGATGAATGTACCGACGGATATATCCGTCGGTAATTAATGTTAATTTATCGACGAATTTACGATGGATATATCCGTCGGTAAATTCATCTATAAATTACCGACGGATTTATCGACGGATATATCCGTCGGTAACTAATTATTATTTTACCGACAAATATATCCGTCGATAACATCAAATTCCACAAATATTTTATATCCGTCAGTAATGATTATTTTTTTACGGCTACAAATTCGTCGGTAAATATCATCGTGTAATACACGATTTTCTTATAATGTTTAACACGATTATATTAATATTATATTATTTTTTATTTATGATAAAATAATACGGATTCAATTTAAAATTTGAAAATAAATAAAATTAATATAAATAAAAAAAATTAAAAAAAATGAGACAAAATAAATCATAAACATAAAATAGTACTATCATTCATTATCGAGAAATAAATGTATGATTAGTACACCATATATACGCTCACAAGCATGCTGAATTAATTGAATTGAATTGTCCTGAAAACATTTATAAGTGCAACTACAATTTTGATTAATTTAATTGACGGCAATTGTAAAGATGACAAAACGGGTCTGGTTCGACAGGCTGGCCCGCCAGCCCGCCATTATATGGCAGGACGGATTAGTGTTTTCAGCCCACTAGCCCGCTTTGGCCGGTCCCGCCAAGCTCGTCAACTCGCAGTACCAACTCGCGGGACTGGGCGAGCCAGCCCACTGCCTGTCTAATTAATAAAAATATAATTTTTTATTATAATAAAGTTAATTATAAAGATAATATATAAAGTTAAAAATTAAAAAAAAATTAAAAAAGTTTCACTCTCATAGAAAATATTCTCCCTACTCAACATTCTCTCCTATTCTCTTTGTTCATTCTAAGCACTGATTATTTTTATTCTTATGACTTGAATTAAAGGTGTAAGAATTACTCAACCAAGAACAATGCGAATTTTTATCAAATAAAAAAGATATAGGTATTTGAATTTTTCAATATAAAAAATATAAATTTTATAAGTTTTAAACCTTATATATATATATATATATATATATATATATTTGTTATTATTTATTATCATATAAATTTTATTATTATTCTAAATTATAATTTCTTAAAATAATATACTAATTTATATTATTAAATTGAAATAATATATATATATATATATATATATATATATATATATTGAATTATTGACAAACAAATAATAATCTTATTATTAAATTTATTAAAATGTTTTATTTTAAAAAATGAATTATTTTTTTTCTAAATTATGGCAGATCAACCCGCCAACCCGTCCCTTGACGTGATAGGCCAAAGTGTACAACCCAACATAACTATAGCAGTCTAGCCCACTTCGCCCCACTTTTGACTGACCAAAGCGGAGAGAGTCAAAACGGGACGTGCTGGGCTAGTTGAATTGACTTGTACCTGATAACATTTACATTTATAAGTGCAACTACAATTTTGATTAATTTAATTGACCGCAATCAACATGTGGTGTAACTTGTTCAATCGCATCACTGAAAGGCAATTGATCATTTAGCATAAATTTCATCAAAATACATTTATCATGACAAATAGTGATCACGACCTACGGTTTTGGATGATTTAATTAAATTAGTTGCAATCGGAGCACTTCTACGCATTTGAAAGAAGCTGTTCTACACATTATTTAGTCATAGTCAAACATACATATGCACATTTTAATAACATTTTTAACCTCCATGAACGGGTCCGAACTGAATACGGCATTTTCTTGCTGCATAAATACCGATCACACCGTTGGGTGGCATATGCATCTTTAATTTCCAATGGCTTCAACACAGGTTAGTGTCTTTGGGAGCTCTCATTCTTTTCTTGGCGTGATGGACATGGCCAAGAAACCAGAAATGGAAATACCAGAAATGTATATTCGCCCACAAGAACCTGCAATTCCATCAGATGAAATCACTTTGTCAGCTATTCCCGTTTTTGACTTGAAAACCTTGGCGTATGAAAATGCTAGAGATGCTGAACTTGACAAGTTGTACACAGCATGCAAAGATTGGGGTTTTTTTCAGGTTTGTACTTAGTACCCCAATACATGTACAACCTTAATTTGAAATATAGAATTGGTGATTAGTTCTTTACTTCTTCGGTTTGCTGTAATTAATATAATCAGTAATTGCTGTTAAGTTTTAACTACTGAATAATTTGTGTGGTGGTGTTATATGTTTTTTTATGCAGGTGGTGAACCATGGTGTTAGCTCTCAACTGTTGGAGAAGCTGAAACTTGAGATTGAGAAATTCTTCGACCTTCCCATTGAAGAGAAGAAGAAATACCATGTGAGACCAGGTGATGTTCAAGGATACGGAACTGTGATTAGATGTAAAGATCAAAAGCTTGACTGGGGAGACAGGTTCTACATGGTGATCAACCCTGTTGAAAGAAGAAAGCCATATCTTCTCCCTGAGCTCCCTGCATCACTTAGGTCTTTTAAACAATTAAATTCTCTCTCTCTTATATATATATATATATATACACACTTCCTTAATTTGTTTTTGATCAAAAGTTGAGTTTTATCCTAATATAGTTGGCATAATATTAAACATATATTTGTAGGGATACCTTGGAGTCATACTTCAGAGAATTGAGAAAACTTGGTATGGAACTTCTTGGATTATTAGGAAAAGCCTTAGGGATGGAGATGAAGGAAGTGGAGGAGTTTTTTGACGATGGGATGCAGTCAGTGAGAATGACATACTATCCACCATGCCCAAAACCAGAAGTAGTTGTAGGGCTCACCCCCCACTCTGATGCCACAGGCATAACCATCCTTCATCAGGTGAATGGAGTGGAGGGTCTGGAGATAAAGAAAAGTGGGGTTTGGATTCCTGTGACCTTTCTACCAGATGCTTTTGTAGTTAACGTTGGGGACATCATGGAGGTGTGTCATGCTTTTCTCTACTTTTTCCTATGTTTTCTCCATTTAATATAATCATGCACGTGGTTTATTGAATTTGGTCTTGGGATAAGATATGCACTCTAGTGTTCTGCATCAAATCAACCTTACATTATTCTTAATAAAATAAGAAAATTATGATATATTTGCCACCGATGTTTTGGGTACATCTATCTTATAATTCATATTATAATAACAGTAATGCATACAAAAATATAAAATTTTAATATTATTATATTAAAAGAGTTATTCAGTGATTATTTTTATTAAGGGTTATGCAGTTTTTTTTTCCTTAAAAAAATCCCGTGACTATACTATACATACTTTTTTATTTGATTTAAATGGATAAAGCCAATTCAACGTCACACCACGTCAGGATCACCTATGGAAATCAATTAAAACCGTTTAAAATGTTACCAGGAGGACAATATATATATATATATATATATATATATATATATATATATATATATATATATATATATATATATATATATATATATATATATATACACACATTATACATGCTTTATTATTTATTTAAATTATTACAATTATAAATAGAAATAAGTATTAAATGCACAATTACCTATATTAGAAATTTTATAACACCTAAAACTTTTATTTATTTTGTCAGTTAAATTGTGTATTTAATTTAGGTTTTCCAAAACTTTATTTTCTTAAATTTAAGTTAAAATCTTTAAAATAGATTAATAAACTTATTTTAAATAGTTTTTTGTGTTCAAAGCTTTATTTAGTGAATACAAACTTATAAATAAATCAACACAGGTATTTTATATAAGATATTGTAAAAAAGACTTAATATTGAAAAATTTAAGAATAACTTATATTCACTCCAAAATTTAGATAACTCTATAATATTTTAAAGATTTTGAAATAGTGTAAAGTGTCATCTTTTTACTTATATGATGTTTTCGAAAGTTTTTTTTTTCACTTAATTTGTTTGATAAATAAGTTCATTATAACTAGTTTAAATATTTATGTCTATTCGAATTAGAAGTAAAAGAAGGAGAAAAAATAGGTAAAAATAAGAATGATAGAAGTCAAAGAGAAATAAAATTGAAAGAAATCAAGAAAATTTTCCTGCTTATTCAGATAAATAGTAAAGTAAATGAAAACAAATAAATAAATAATATAAATATATACTAATTAAAATATAAACTTTTCTTAAACATATTTTTAATATATTATTACTTTTCTTAAAAATAAATTTATTTTTATGTAATTTAAAATATTTGATGTTTTAAAAACATTTCCCCACTTTGAGAGAGATTATTTTATACGTGAAGTCGAAATTAAACCTTCCTTTTATTTATTCTTTTAAATAAATAATAGAAACTTGATATTTATTTTTTTATGTTTAATTTTTTCGCATTATTTAATCCAATAAAACAAGACAATTACCGAAAAAAATAGAACAATATGAGACAAGTCAAGAACACTGACAAAACGCGCGACCTATTCACATTTGTAAACCAAGGTGAACAATAATAACCTATTTTAAGTAAATATTGACATTTTGTACTCTTATTACCAATGATTTCTTTATCACTTCCTTCTGAAACTGTTGCCAAAGATGAAACAACATTATTTAACACCAAATATATCCCAAAAAAACACATCCAATAGAAGTTATTTTTATGATTGAAGGAGGTAATTTATTTATTTGATACATCTAAATTTCTTAATAAATTTTTTATTTGAATAAAGAAATTAAAAAAAAAAATATCGTAAAAGGTTTTAAATTAATACTTACAAATTTAAAGAATTTTAAATTACACTTACACACAACTCATACTTACTCTCATCTCTGTCATGAAGTTCTTTAACACCCCTCTCACTCTCTCAAACTCTCTTTCAACAATCACTACACACAAAAAAAGTCTATTATTTACAAAATACTACCTACGGATAAAAATTCGTAAGTAAATTATACATTACATACAGATATTACCTATGAAATTCTATCCGTGAGTAATTATCCATTACCTACGCATATTATCCTTAGATAATGTTGTAGGTAATTATCTACGAATTACTATCCGTAGGTAAATTATATCAAATTAAAAGAATTATAAGCGACGGGATTCAAACCCAATAACTTAGATTTGGAAACTGATACTCCAATCATTAAACTATTAAGATTTTTTTTATAATAACTAAAAAATAAGTTATATTTATTTACAAATAAATGTATATCCATGTAAATATATAAATATATAAATATGTAAATATATAAATATGTAAATATGTAAATATGTAAATATATAAATATGTAAATATATAAATATGTAAATATATAAATATATAAATATATAAATATATATATAAATATATATAATTATATATAATTATATATATATATATAAATATATATATAAATATATATATATATATAAATATATCAAAATATAAATATATTTGTATTTATATATTTTATATTTAGATATTTTATATTTATATATTTACACAGATAAATATAAATATAATTTATTTATAAGTTATTATCGAATATCCTAATAGTTTAGTGGTTGGAGTATTAGTCTCCAACTCTAAGATACTGAGTTTGATTCCTACCAGATGACAATGTTCTTAATCTGATAATAATTCAAAGTTCTAAAAATATAATATAAAGGGGAGGGGGCTCCGGGTAATAATAAAAAATAAATAGGTGGTTGTTTTAGTAAATAAAACTATTTTGTTCAAGCGAGTACATTACCTACAGATTTTTGCCGTAGATAATAGATTTTTTTTTTGTAGTGAATACTTTCTATAACCTCTCTTGTTCTTTTGTTCTTCTATTTTTGCTCTTTCAAATAATAATAAAAAATAAATAGGGGGTTTTTTTAGTAAATAAAAATATTTTGTTCAAGTGAGTGTATTACCTACGGATTATAATCCGTAGGTAATTACCCATGGATGGTATTACCTACGAGGATTTTTGCCTCGAGATAATAGGTTTTTTTTTTAGTGAATACTTTCTATAACCTCTCTTGTTCTTTTCTTCTTCTATTTTTTCTCTTTCAAATAATAATAAAAAATAAATAGGGGTTTTTTTAGTAAATAAAAATATTTTATTCAAGTGAGTGTATTACTTACGGATTATAATTCGTAGGTAATTACTCATGGATGGTATTACCTACGGATAATAATTTTGTAGATAAATTACCTATGACCGAATTACATACGGATTTTCTACGAAAAAATCCGTAGATAAAATGGTATTACATATAAATTTTTGTCATTACTTACGGATTTTTGCCGTAGATAATAGGTTTTTTTTTTTAGTAAATACTTTCTATAACCTCTTTTGTTCTTTTCTTCTTCTATTTTTGCTCTTTCAAATAATAGAATTTTAGTTTGTTTTATGGGATTTTAAATTTCATGATAAATCAATTCGTTATTTTGTAATTATATCAAGTACTAAACTAATTCATATTCAACTAGAATTTTAGTCTTTGAAAATATACAGTATATGAACATTTATTTGAATACAATATAAAGTTAAAAAAAATATTTAACCAAAAAATTTGTATAAAAAATAATATGGTAGGTCTATATAATAAATCATTTTTCTCGTTCTTAAATGAAAAGATAATTACTATTGCACTATCCTTTTCCATGTAACATGTAAAGTTATCGTTATTTCTATATTTTTAAATATTTTAAAATTTTGTATGTTTATTTTACTTTTCTTTCAAACATATATTAGCTTTAATTACTTATAAAATTTTCAATTTTTTCAAAATTATAACAAATTACATTAAAGTAATTCCTTTATATATTTGAAAAGATAATTTTTACATTTTTTAATTTATATTTTAAGATTTTACTATTTAAACATGTGGAATGTATACATGATGTGTCTACTTATCAAAATCTAACGTATTTTTATTCTCGAAATTGAAAATCACAAAACCACTTAGTTGAGAAGAAAGAAAGCGAGGGGGAAGAGAAAAGTTTAAAATTTTAAAGATAAGAAAAGTAGAAGAAAAAAATATTTTTTTATTTTTAGAAGTCTTTTTTTTTCTTCAACGTTCTCTCCAACTAAATAAAACACGGATATTGTTATCCCTATTCTCTTTTCACTCTTATTTTCATCCATTTCATAGGGAGGGTTGTCATCGAAATAATTAAAAAAAAATCTTTAAGAGAATTGAATCTCACAAAATTAAAAGAAATGTAAAATAATTTAAAACAAATTCATAAGAATATATTTATTAGACTGTATATAGTGGATCTGGTAAAAAAAAAAGGAAAAGATATAGATAAAAATGAATAAATGAAAAATATGAAAGAGAGAAATAAGTTAACAAAATACGTAATAAATAATAGAGTGAATTTAGAAGTATTTGATTTAAGAGAAATGAAGTAAAATAATAAAAAAAACGGGAAAAAGAAAAAAATTATTATTTTTAATTGGTTAAACCTATGTTGTAATCAAATAAATTTGATGCGTTTAATACCTTAAAAAAAAAAAAAATCAAAGTTTTCATTGTTGGAATAAATCAAATCATAATGTACAATTTCACTTCCCTTCTGATTTATTTGCATACATCTAAAGAATCTGAAGGCTATATTTCTTTTTTACTTATAATTTTTCTCTCCTTGTTAACCAATTCTCACCTTATAAAGAAATAAAGAAAGTATAATAGGAGTCAAATCAATGTAAATAATAGAATCTCCTTATCCACAAAACTCATCCTTTCGGTGATCTTGCAGATTCTAAGTAATGGGACCTACACCAGCATAGTGCACAGGGCTGCGGTGAACAAAGAGAAGGAGAGAATTTCTATTGCCATGTTCTTCAACCCTAAATTTGAGGCAGAGATTGGGCCAGTCAAAAGTTTGTTAAATTATGAGAATCCACCCTTGTTCAAAAGCATGTTGATGGAAGACTACTTCAAAGACTTTTTCTCTCGCAATCTTGACGGGAAATCACACTTGGAGAAAATGAGGGTGGTGAAAGATTAAACTTAACTACCTCATCACTATCCTTGTCAGCATCTTGTTTGTATATAATTTGTATATCAATCATAAACCCTAATATTGACCTTTCTCCAATGAAAGTTATATGGGTGAACTTATGTAACTCATATTTTACTTTTGTATATATTAAAATTATCTTATATTATGCTGTTAGTGAAAAAATTGATATAAGGATCGAAAAACAAAAGAAAGAAAATCGAGGATCATATGTTAGTTAAAAAATTGATACATCAAAAAGATGGTTGGAAGACATTCGATGACCCTGTAACAGTATGAACACATAAATCGAGAATTGGAATCGAGAATCGAAGGAAGAATATTTGATGTCCATTGTTGAAGAAAATCGAGAAATAAGAATCAAGTGTAAAGTTAAGGTTAAGGGAAATCAAAAGCAATTCAAAGTTCTCGAGATTGGAAATCAAGATCGAGGGAATGGTTAACCTACATGACTATCGAAATTATGGCTAAATTATAAATTGAGGAACGGTTAAAACACGTATGGAACGTGGAAGTAGTTTTCTAAACCGTAGAACTAAGGTAAAAATTCGAGGGACGTGCACGTGGAACGTGGTAGCAGTTTTTGTTAACTGCTCTTAGGAGGTTACCTGAAGGATGCTCTATAAATAGAGCGAAGATTGAAGGAAAAGGGGAAATTGGGAGAGATAACAGAAACGCTAGTGAAAAGTCTATAGGAGAACGATGCATCATGAAGTTTCTAATGCTCTGGATTTCCATTTTCATTGATTGTCTTTATCGCTTTCTTTACTTTCCCTGGTAATTCACTTTCATGCAATTTACATTCATCAATTTAAGTTTCTGTACTTTCAATTACTTGTCATTTACCTTTGATGCAATTTAAGTTTCTGTACTTTCAAATTCTTGTCATTTACCGTTTCTGCAATTTCGATTTCCTGCTATTTACTTTCATGCAATTTTAATTCCTTGTCATTTACAGTTAATGCAATTTCGAGGTTTCCGCATTTTACAATTCTCTGTAATTTAATATTCTGCACTGCCTTTCATTCCGATACGTTTTACTGCTTTCTTTACTTTGTGTTTCTTAATAAAAAATACTAAAAAAAATTCTTTCGATTGTCAATCTGTACGATATGTTGCATTGTTAACATTCTCGATATTATGACATTTTCGATTCTCATACATGTTTTGATTGAAAACTGTTGCTAGCCTAAGTAAAAAGAATCTACGTGGTTGAAATTTGATTAGAATGTAAGTTTCTAAGAAATCAAAATCGATTTAATTTCCACCAGAAACAAATTGGCGCGCCAGGTAGGGGGCGTTGTGTCAAAAACACACACAAAAAAATTGGCTAGTTCGAAAGTGTATGAGATTAAGGAGTGGGCGAGTAGTAAGAATGAGTCAAAATCCACCGAATATCCAGAATAACAGTGAGATTCCAAATAGTCTGAATCCACCAAACACTGGGGGGCAAGTTCACAATGGAACTATGCTTGTTATATCGACAACTGTGAGTGTGTCGATGCCTGTGAGTACTGAACAAAGCCCAGGGACATTAGCAAATACTCAGTTAGGGTCTAGTACTGTAATGTCAAACAATATGCAAACCACGGGAAACCCCGTAACAACATATGCAGGTCCACATATGAGTGTAAGGCCGCCTAGTTTTTTGTTTAATAATATGAATGGGGCTGGTACTTCTTCAATACAACGAAGTACGAGATTTAACCTAGGAATTCCCCAAAACTTAGGAACGTTTCAAACTTTAGGTATGCCTCAAAATTTTGGAGTATCCCCGAATTTAGGTGTGTCCCAACATTTAGTAACACCTCAGAATCCAAGGAATGCACAAAGTTTAGGAACACAACAAATGCCTCCAATATCAAACCTGGATCACAGAGCAAATCTGGATCACGGAAGATATACTTTCGATAGAGATTATCATCGATCCAATTTTGAGGCTATTGAAAATGCTAGTACTGGAATTTCCAGTAATTCATTAGAGTGTTTCGGCAACAAATGGATGAAAGCAATTTCGAGATGGTTAATATGTTGTCACAACAGTTGACTACAGTATTAAACACATTAGTTCAAAACACTACCAATAGTTTTGAGATATTAGCAGATCAAATGACACGTATTGGGGATGCATTGCCAATACCGCGACAAACGAGGGTCGAAAATAATGCCAATCAGGATAATAACCAAAACGTTGATATCAATCCCCTTTATTTATTAAGGAGAAATGGAAATTTTGATCAATATCAGCATGTGGGGAATGAATATCAGCATGTGAGGAATGATGCTTGCAAAAATTTAAATGGGGGATTTCAAAATATGTACAATCAGAATAACATGCAGTACAATCATATGTTGGGACAAAGGATGAATCCCCAGGGAGTGGAATTAAGACCACCCAACCAACCGTACTTTGTTTCTCCTTTTCCAAATACGATTCTCGAGACAGAATTACCTCGAGGATACAAAATACCCAAATTCACCAAATTTGCTGGAGAAATTGGTGAATCCACTATCGAGCATGTGGCGCGATATCAAATCGAATGTGGAGATATAGCTATGAGTGAGGAATTAAAAATGAAATACTTCCCTAGTTCGTTAACAAAAAATTCTTTCACTTGGTTTACTTCGTTGCCACCTAATTCGATATATAATTGGGTGCAGCTGGAAAGAAATTTTCATGAGCAATTCTTTAGGGGGGAGACTCAAGTAAGTCTTATCGACTTAATGAATATAAAGAGATATAATCATGAAAGTGTAGATGATTATTTGAATAGATTTAGACAAATGAAGTCGAGATGTTTTACTCAAATTCCCGAATTTGAATTAGTCACAATGGCCTCTGCAGGTTTAGAATTCTCGATTAGGAAGAAGTTGGTTAATTTACCATTGAATGACATGGCTCAGCTAGCCGATAAAGTGAGAAGAGTGGAACAAATCGAATATGAGAAACAAAGGTACAAGAAATTTGAAAAACCTATGAAGAAAGATAGGGTAGCGTATATAAATGACGTATATGAGGAGAATCCCAGGACAGAAGTAGAAATTGAAGAATCTGTCGATGAGAAAGTAAACATAGCAGAGCTCAAAGTAGGAGCTCCATATATTTGTAAACTGCTGCAAAAAAATGAAGTAAAAGACAAAATGACAAATCGCACATATACTTTCGATGTAACAAAAGCAGATAAAATCTTCGATATTTTATTGAAAGATAAACAAATTAAGTTGAGTGATGATCATAAATTACCTTCTGCAGATCAAAGAAATGGTCAAAAATATTGCAAATTTCATAATATTTACGGGCACTGGACTAATAATTGTATACATTTCTGGAACACGATCCAAGATACGATCGATCAAGGAAGATTGAAGTTCGAGGAGATGTCAATGAAAGTGGATAAGAGTCCATTTGAAGTACAAGTAGGGTATGTCGAATCCCAGACGGGCATTACTAAAGATGTTCGATTGATAAATTCAACCTTTATAGGTATGGTCAATGTTACTGAAGACATTGATCCTAGACATGTCAAAATGGACATGTCAGAAGAAGACATAGAGTTTGACCTAAGCGAGTTCGAGAAAGAATTCGAGAGAGAGATTTATCCTCGATCAGAAGATTCCCTCGTCAAATTTTTAACCAGAAAGAAAGAGAAGGATGAAGACGTGACATTATGTCCACGATGCAGCGCAGTGTTTGACAGATCAGCTGTTAAAGCCTTCAGGGCAGGACAGATCAAGAAAATAGAGGAACAACATAAAAGTTGCAATGTTAAAGGGGATCAAACAGCCCAGACAACGGTGGGGGAGAATCAGCAGCAATCTGTTGGTTCTGGTTCTAGTAGAAATCAAAAGCGATGGGTTAGGAAAGAAATGTATTCTCCTCGGGGAGGAAGAGGTAGACTTCAAAATAATGATGTTTTCGATAGACTTTCATATGATGAAGTATCAAATACTAGATTCCCTACATTCCAAAGGAGATTTCGAGGAAGGCCTTGGAGGAGAGGAGGAAAGATCCCTTACTGGGGAAGGGTCAATAATGATAAGAACTTTGAAGAAAAGAATATACCAATCAGGGGTCAGTATGTAAGAGACTTTGTCGATGACAAGAATGAAAATAGTAGGGATGGACATCAGATCGGAGTCATATCGATACTACCCGCGGATATGTTAGTGAATACGAAGAGTTTCAGGAGCAAAGTGACGTCAATCGAGAGGACGATTTCTATTCCGAAGAAATGAGACCAAAAGTGACATGGGTGACACAAGTGTCATGCAAATCACCCCATAGAGATGCTGCTTTTATCAATCCTCCATCCGAGGAAATGAGGTTTCATTTGAAGCCCTTATTGCTGAACATCGAAATTCAAGGACAAAAGGTGAATAAGGTCCTTGTGGATGGTGGTGCAGCGGTGAACATATTGCCAATCACTATGCTAAAGAGGTTTGGTATCGAATTGAAAGACTTAGTCAGGCATAATATCATGATTTCTGATTTCAGTGGGAAATCATCGAGCTTAGAAGGCATGATTGCCTTAGACGTGAAAGTGGGTACTTATTCGAGGCCCACTGTTTTTGTAGTTGTCCAATCACATGCCAACTTTAATGCGTTGCTTGGCAGGGAGTGGATTCAAGGAGTTGGAGTTGTACCTTCTACGACTCATCAGAAGCTGTTTATGTGGAATCGAGATGGACATCTTGAAATAATTCAAGGAGACCAGCACGAGTTCATGACATTTGTGTCTCAGGCTGGTTAGTCACTACAAAATTTGGCGCTCACTCAACCATTCACCTTCGAGACTGTTGAAGACTTTAATTCAAAAATGCATGAGGAGCGTTTCTTGGAAATGAATGAGAAAAGGGGATTTTTCATGATCAAAGAGGGGGCCAGCCTCGAAATGGCCGTTGAAAATGAATAAAGATTATGAGGAATTCTTGGCTCGATTAAGAAGATATGAAGATGAAAAGAAAGAGGGCCAAGAAAGTAGTAGTAC